TGAATGTGATAACTTGTTAAGTGTCAACCTCTTTATCCTTGGCTTAAATGATCAAAAAGTGCAGCGCTATAAAAATTAATAACGTGTCTAATATCAAATAAATTATATATAAAACCAATATTAATGCATATAGTCCTTTTGTGCAAAATACAACTGTAAATAAAGTGCAATTGTAAAACATCAATATATACAAAATAAAATATATCTACAAATGGATAAAAGTCCATGTTGGTGGTGAAATTCTGACATCGATCAGATAGTAAAGCTACGTGAAGATCCCGTGCCCAGGTGATCTCAAATACATTCCATGTGATAATATTACATTCGATGAAGTGCAGGGGATATGATAAAAATGCACACTCGTCAGATGCCCATTATAAATACGCAATGTATACATGGAATATATTTGAGATCACCTGGGCACGGGATTTTCACATAACATTACTATCTAATTGATGTCAGAATTTCACCATCACACGGACATTTATATATATATATATATATATATATATATATATATATATATCTTTTTGCATATATTGATGTTTTACAATTGCACTTGATTTACAGTGTGTTTTTTGCACAAAAGGACTATACGCATCAATATTGGTTTTATATATAATTTATTTGATATTAGACACGTTATTAATTTTATAGCGCTTCACATTTTGATCATTTATGCTTTTGAAGGTTTCTGGTTCCCTTTTAGTGCATTTGCTGCTGACCTTACCTTAAGCGCTCGCTGATTTTCTTCACCGTCTTTATCCCTGGCTGCTTGAACTAGCAGGGTTCATAGTGTCATGCTCATCCGATAACCTCTTTAGAGTGTATTAGCCTCATATGACAACCTGTTAGGTGTCAACATATTTGTCATTGGTTGCTTGATCAAAGCAGTATTCATGCAGTCAAGTCCATCCACATCATCCTCTTTAGAAACTGTGAAGAGGGATGTTTTACCTGGGAAGACGAGGCAGCTTTTCATTACCAAAGCAGATAACTCTTTGAATGGGTAAGTGGAAATCATTCCTTTAGATTGTATTGACAATGTGTTTATTGAATGTGACATCCAGTTTGGTGTCATTTTTATACCTAGCTGCTTTAACCAGCAGAATACATACAGTCATGCTCACCTGCAACTTCCTCTACAGAGTCAGTCTTGCCTGGCACAGCTGAGACTTAAAATTGCCAGAGCAGATAACCCTTTCACAGGGTGAATGAAAAGAACTCCTTTGAGTGTACTGGCCACTTGTTTAATGAATGTAACAACATGTTGGGTGTCATCATCCTTATTTCTGGTTGCTTAAACAAAGCAAGATTCATACCATGATGTTGATCCGTCTCTTCCCTTTTGGAGAGTCTGAAGAAAGTTGTTTTGCTTGGGAAAGCTCTGAGACTGCTCATTGCCAGACTAGATAATCCTTTCACAGGGTTGTGCCTGCTGCTTAAAGCAGCTAAAAAAAAAAAAGAATAATTTAATGAAGTAGAAAATAGTTTGCTTGGTAACAAACCCTAAAAGGGTCAACCACTGCTAGAAGGATGCCGATACTGCAGCTTTCAACCATAGCCTTGACATCACTTGGTGGTTAATGAACCAAACTTTGCCCTGCCAGAGAACAGAACATGATAAAAATGTTTTAAGAAAAGCAACAAAAAAGGTAGGAATCTGCAACAGAATTACAATAATATTCTGCAATGTACACAAACCATCCAAAAGGAATTTACTTTTTTTTTTGAGAAACTGGAGCGCACAAATATAAAAGGATTTCCTATACTTCAATAGGCAATGCTGGCTACAGTAGTCATCCATAGAAGACTCCTCTATCTTCTCTGGGAACACTGGTCTTTTGAGGGGGTTGGCATAATAGTGCAACAGTAAAGCAAACATGTGAAACCACCAACAGGTTAATGCCATGTGTGAACAAAGTATTACTTTGTGCATCTGTTATGCAGAGTACTACCTCTGGAGAAGCTCAGGGTATGCACAGTAGCTGCAGGGAGCAAGGCACAATACCTAGCAATGCACCATTCATTTTGGTAGAAAGCATTTTTAAAATTGGCTCACTCAACCCTCCGCCATCCGACTGTAAAAAAAAACTGGCACTGCGCAGGTGTGCGTGCCTCAGGGAGACTGCTGACACTACAGCCCACTTCACATGGACCCAGCAGACCCCAAACAAGGCTGTTAGACCTGATAAACGCCACCCGAGGACCAGCAGCTGGGCACCCTGGATTATGGGTCATTTAGCCGGTACACCAGGGAACGCATCCAGCTGAAATCCACATGCATGGACAGCCAGCCAGTCCTTTAGACCAGCCAGGCAGATGAGTACTCCTAGCTGCAGGTGGGCTCAAATTTATGAGTTAGGTCCTGGAAGCATGGTGGGACCCTTACCCAGCTGTGCTGACATGGAGCTGGGTAAGGGAGTTGGATCCAGAAAGATTTATTCATAGTCAAATCAGAAATTAATACTTATTTTGGGGCTTCCAAGGGCCTAAAAGTCTTCTTGGGATAAGAGATTAACCTTGATTAAGGTTGTCTGGAGAGACACCTAAAGAAAACCCTTCACTCCAGATGAGACACCCTACCAGGGACCTACACTACACTTTGTTTTGATCCATGGTTGTCTGCCCTCTGCATGTTGACCACCCACACATTTCCTTTACTCTTCTCTACCCAGAAAAGTATAGGATAAGTGGTAAATATGTTACAGATAATGTATGTACATTCTAGAGTGCCCAAAAGTACCCCCTGCTTTCATGGGATACATCACAAGCAGCGCTCTGCTCTAATGATGGGGCTTGTTCACTCTAGTTGTTGGCGGGTGGCAGGGGGAAGTAGTACCACCCCCCAACTTCTACCCACTTTAGCTGCAGAGGCAGCAGCAGGGAATGTACACATGCCACAGCTGCAATGCTTTGCAGCAGGAATATACCCACTGTAGATTTCAAAGTGAATGAGTTCAGGGTTAAAAAAAAGATAGCAAAGAGGTGATGCATGTTTTCGTCAAGTGCGCTCTTCAGAGTGATCAGAATGCAGTTTACTCTTCAGAGCGCAAACTTAGATTGAACAAGCCCCAAAAGGCTCCTTTACACTTGCTTGGCTCTCTGCAGAGCAATCCGCATTCAGATCTCTCTTCAGAGAGCATTTGATAGAGAGGAGGCATTGTATTGCCTCCTCAACGCTTGTGTCAACCCCCTAAATTCCAGACAACCACATATGTTGAGAGCAGTTGTAGCATGGCCCCATTCACTTGAATGGGTCTCGATTGGCAGGGGTATAATTGAATGGGTCACGCTCAGAGCCACAAAGCATTATGACCATGGCATTTGCACACCCCTGGCTACTGCCTCTGCAACAAAAGGGGGAGCGGTTAAGGCACGATTAAAAAAAAAAAAAAAAATCAGCTCAACCATGGTGTTTTAGCACCTCCCAAAGGAAAGTATAAACCCCTTTACTCTGTTACCGCTAACTAAAATTTAGTGGAACCAATTGCCTTCAGAAGTCACCTATTTAGTAGATAGAGTCCACCTGTATGTCATTTAATCTCAGTATAAACACAGCTGTTCCGTGAAGCCCTCAGAGGTTTGTTAGAGAACATTAGTGAACAAACAGCATCATGAAGGCCAAGGAACACACCAGACAGGTCAGGGATAAAGTTGTGGAGAAGATTAAAGCAAGGTTAGGCTATAAAAATAAAAAAAATATTCCAAGCTTTGAACATCTCATGGAGCACAGTTCAATTCATCATCTGAAAATGGAGTATGGCACAGCTGCAAACCTAACAAGACATGGCCGTCCACCTAAAAACGGACAGGCCAGGCAAGGAGAGCATTAAATCAGACAAGCTGTAGAGATCCACAGCTCAGGTGGGAGAATCTGTTCACAGGACAACTATTAGTGGTGCACGCCACAAATCTGGCCTTTATGGAACAGTGGCAAGAAGAAAACCATTGTTGACAGAAAGCCATAAGAAGTCCCGTTTGCAGTTTGCAAGAAGCCATGTGGGGGACACAGCAAACATGTGGAAGAAGGTGCTCTGGTCAGAGGAGACCAAAATTGAACTTTTTGGCCTAAAAGTAAAAATGCTATGTGTGGTGGAAAACTAACACTGCACATCACCCTGAACACACCATCCCCACCATGAAACATGGTGGTGGCGGCATCATGTTGTGGGGATTCTTTTCCTCAGCAGGGACAAGAAAGCTGGTCAGAGTTGAAGGGAAGAGGGATGGAACCAAATACAGGGCAATCTTAGAAGAATACCTAATAGAGTCTGCAAAAGACTTGAGACTGGAGTGGAAGTTCACCTTCTAGCAGGACAACGACCCGAAACATCCAGCCAGAGCTACAATGGAATGGTTTAGATCAAATCATATTCATGTGTTAGAATGGCCCAGTCAAAGTGCAGACCTGAATCCAATTGAGATTCTGTGGCAAGACTTGCAAATTGCTGTTCACAGACGCTCTCCATCCAATCGGACAGAGCTTGAGCTATTTTGCAAAGATGAATGGGCACAAATATCACTCTCTAGATGTGCAAAACTGGTAGAGACTTCCCCAAAAAGACTTGAAGCTATAATTACAGCGAAAGGTGGTCCTACAAAAGTATTGACTCGGGGGGCTGAATACAAATGCACACCACACTTTTCACATATTTAATTTGCAAAAAAAAAAATAATTTATGATTTTCCTTCCACTTCACAATTATGTGCCACTTTGTGTTGGTCTATCACATAAAATCTCAATAAAATACATGTTTTTGGTTGTAACATGACAAATTGTGGAAAATTTCAAGGGGTATGAATACATTTTCAAGGCACTGCTCATGGAGCAGCTCTCATATTCATCAGTTTAACTTTGGGAATCCAAATCACATCTTAAAAGAATTTCTTTAACAGTTTTATTAAAGTAAGATCAGTAAAAACAAAAGAACCACACATAAAAAACCCTAGATCCACATCCAATGTACATAAAATAAAAATGCACTGTCCTCTCAGAACTAAATAGGCTTAATTTTAAAGTGAAGTCCAATCAAGCTGAAGACCAGACACTTTAAGTCTTGAACAAGGTAATAGAAAACTCGTAATCCCTCGGGGTCCCTGAAAAAGAAAAAAGAAAAAAAAAAAAAAAACTGTATAAAGCGGAATAAGAACACCACTACAATCAGTGCTTACTGATAACATTTCTCAGCTTTATTTCACACTGCACTAATCTACAATAAGTCAGAAACACCCCCCGCCAGGTTTTTACTGCAATTAGCAAGACCTGAAGGCAACACTAAACTCTGTTTTAACCACTTGATGAACAGGCATTTTATGACACTTTAACATGCAAATCAGGTTTTTTTTTGCTGGAAACTTACTCCCAGACATATTTCTTTTAAAGCAGAGGCCCTAGAGAATTGGTGGGTGTTGCAACTTTTTTTATGTCACACAGTACTTTACTACAATATCTAAAAATGCAGCACTAAAATACAAACACCTCATAACCATATGAGATATAAATATAAGACATGTGATTCACACAAACTGCGTATAGGTAAACGCACATATAACCAACTGATTGTGCACAGTCCAAATGGACAATCCACCTTAATAGCTCAAAAATAAGTGAGCCAGAGAGAAAAGTGCTATATAGTGCAGTGGGTTTATGTATTCAATAATAAAAACATGTATTTAAACCAGGGTGGATTTAATTTAAATCAAACTGATTTAAATCACGATTTAAATCACTAGTCAGTAAGGCTTGATTTAAATCCTAGTTTTCTACATAAAGACTAATTCTTGCTGGTATAACTTTAATATGCAAGTAGATGAAGATTTTTTAGAATAACAACTTTTCATATTAGTTTTTTTATCCCCAGTTTAATAGGTTAATCATTCATATTTGGACAACTTTTCTGTTGTACTTAGGAAGGAGAAAAATAATCATTACCTTAATAATAACAATTTAAATAGATTTATTCAACTGAAACAATAACATTCCAGCATATGTTATTTGCTTAAACAAACATCCATGTTTGTTAACTAATTTGGCTAAACAAAATATATATATTTTAAGAAACTTAGACTGTCAGCCCCTTCCTCCTCACACTTAGTTTCACTTTCTTCTTGTGCAGATCTATTCCACTCCAAACAATCAGAAAAATATTGTTTCTATTCTATTCACTGAACTTCTTGAAACTTAGCACTGAAGGGGTTGATTCTGTATTCATAGGTTTGTAGAAGTTAGGATTAAGGTCTTTTTCTTAACTCTGTTCATGTTATAACATTTGTGCTGTGAAGAAGAGGCATGTGATCTCCGCTGAGTCAAATTCAGTTTCGAAAACTACAAAAGAAAACCAAGCATCTGTGATAATATCTTGTAGGCAGAGAAACTGCCCAATAATCTTACAAAAACCTCTGGAAGAGCATGACATTGTGAATGGATTCATGGAATTTATTCACCAAAAAAAATTAAAAACATATACAGCCTTATTCTACATAATTAAAAAACTAATCTTTATTTCATGATGGAATAACCTTTGGATGGTAATATATTTTCCTCAAAAAGCATTTTATTCAAAAAAATCCAATTCAAATTTAAAAAAAATCATTGATTTTTATCCACCCTGGTGCATATACTTGGAGTGGAGTTTTCTCTACAATCCGGAGAGTGGCAGTGGATAATCGGCTGTGGTGCAGACGTATACCAGACGATTCCCGTGGTTACTCCAGGAGGAGGATGAACAGGAGTGGTCTTTATTACTCAAAAGCGCTGTATATTGCGCTATCTGGTTAGTGCAATTTATTCTCATTGCCACATGCACTAGAAGCACGGATTTACACCTATCTGGACAATTACGCTGTCGCCAACACATCACTTGCGCCGTATCTAGACGCAATCTGCTCTTTACTGTTGCGCTCCTTAGCGCATTGATATTTGATCTCCATTTGGACTGTGCACAATCAGTTGGTTATATATGCGTTTACCTATACGCAGTTTGTGTGAATCACATGTCTTATATTTATATCTCATACGGTTATAGGAGGTGTTTGTATTTTAGCGCTGCATTTTTAGATATTATTGCCATACAAGGGTTGGAAGTTTAACCTTTTATGCCAGCTGCTTTTTATGCATTTCTAGCGCTCGTTTACCATTTTACCTATTACACAGTACTTTACTGTTTGGTAAAATTTAAAAGATGATGTTACACCGAGTAAATAGATACAAAACATTTCACTTTTTAAAATTGTGTGCACAGGCAACAAACATTTTATTATCCATGGGCAATACTTTAGAAGCCTTTACAGGTTACTACTTTAGATTCACACAGGAGGTCTGGTGCTAGAGTTGCTGCCCATGATCTGACATTTTCAGTGATCTCACGTTTTGGACTGTGTGTTAGACTGATGCGTGTATTCGCCTTGTTCGATTTAAAAATAATTTTACTTTTACAATGGTTTTTTTTAAATCACTTATATTATCACAGGGAATATAAATATTCCCTGTGTTAACAATAGTCAGTAACAGGTACTCTAAGTAGAGATACGGAGTCTTAGGACCCCAGAACTCTCTTCTGGTGTGATCAGATACTTTCCAAAATTTAAAAATGGCACTGTTTACATCCGAGTACAATGCTCATCGCTTTTGGTTTCCTATACCATCAAAGCGATCAGAGCCATTCTGGTCTGATTACCTCTATGGTCAGCCGGCCAAAGCGCCAGTTGGTCACTCGGGTCTCACGATGGGGTGGGAGAGCCCATGGAGAGCAGCACAAAGCAGCGGGAGGGGGACATCCCCTCTCAGTGCTTCCAAAAGCAATCCAGCAGAGGATAAGCCACTTGAATTACTTTTACAAAAAAAGAGGACGGCTGGCACAAAAAAAACAAACAAACCACACACAACAAAAAAAAACAAAACAAAGAAAAAAAAACACACACAATAACAGGATGATGCCTGCGGCTGTGGGCATCATTCCAGTATAACCACTTGAAGTCCAGCGACGTACAGGTACATTGCTAGTCATCCAGCAGTTAAAAAATGTCTGGTATTCCTCCTACCACCTGCATACTAGTGGAAGGACACTAGGCAGAAAAAAAAAAAAAAAAAAAAAAAACACACACACTACATGTGTAAAAAGCCCTTTTTACACAAAGTTTTGCTGCCAGCAAGATCCTATGTGACATTTTAATAGTACAGTGCGCATGTACCATAACATTTGGGAAGAATATGGCAACCCCAGCAATACAAGTTACTTGCTTTACAACTGAAAGAAGTAATTTTAGATATTGACATAAAAAAAATAAATATATATATATATATATAGTCAGGTCCATAAATATTGGGACATCGACACAATTCTAACATTTTTGGCTCTATACACCACCACAATGGATTTGAAATGAAACGAACAAGATGTGCTTTAACTGCAGACTGTCAGCTTTAATTTGAGGGTATTTACATCCAAATCAGGTGAATGGTGTAGGAATTACAACAGTTTGCATATGTGCCTCCCACTTGTTAAGGGACCAAAAGTAATGGGACAATTGGCTTCTCAGCTGTTCCATGGCCAGGTGTGTGTTATTTCCTCATTATCCCAATTACAATGAGCAGATAAAAGGTCCAGAGTTCATTTCAAGTGTGCTATTTGCATTTGGAATCTGTTGCTGTCAACTCTCAAGATGAGATCCAAAGAGCTGTCACTATCAGTGAAGCAAGCCAACATTAGGTTGAAAAAACAAAACAAACCCATCAGAGAGATAGCAAAAACATTAGGCGTGGCCAAAACAACTGCTTGGAACATTCTTAAAAAGAAGGAACGCACCAGTGAGCTCAGCAACACCAAAAGACCCGGAAGACCACGGAAAACAACTGTGGTGGATGACCGAAGAATTCTTTCCCTGGTGAAGAAAACACCCTTCACAACAGTTGGCCAGATCAAGAACACTCTCCAGGAGGTAGGTGTATGTGTGTCAAAGTCAACAATCAAGAGAAGACTTCACCAGAGTGAATCCAGAGGGTTCACCACAAGATGTAAACCATTGGAGAGCCGCAAAAACAGGAAGGCCAGATTAGAGTTTGCCAAACAACATCTAAAAAAGCCTTCACAGTTCTGGAACAACATCCTATGGACAGATGAGACCAAGATCAACTTGTACCAGAGTGATGGGAAGAGAAGAGTATGGAGAAGGAAAGGAACTGCTCATGATCCTAAGCATACCACCTCATCAGTGAAGCATGGTGGTGGTAGTGTCATGGCGTGGGCATGTATGGCTGCCAATGGAACTGCTTCTCTTGTATTTATTGATGATTTGACTGCTGACAAAAGCAGCAGGATGAATTCTGAAGTGTTTCGGGCAATATTATCTGCTCATATTCAACCAAATGCTTCAGAACTCATTGGACGCCGCTTCACAGTGCAGATGGACAATGACCCAAAGCAGACTGCAAAAGCAACCAAAGAGTTTTTTAAGGGAAAGAAGTGGAATGTTATGCAATGGCCAAGTCAATCACCTGACCTGAATCCGATTGAGCATGCATTTCACTTGCTGAAGACAAAACTGAAGGGAAAATGCCCCAAGAACAAGCAGGAACTGAAGACAGTTGCAGTAGAGGCCTGGCAGAGCATCACCAGGGATGAAACCCAGCGTCTGGTGATGTCTATGCGTTCCAGACTTCAGGCTGTAATTGACTGCAAAGGATTTGCAACCAAGTATTAAAAAGTGAAAGTTTGATTTATGATTATTATTCTGTCCCATTACTTTTGGTCCCTTAACAAGTGGGAGGCACATATGCAAACTGTTGTAATTCCTACATCGTTCACCTGATTTGGATGTAAATACCCTCAAATTAAAGCTGACAGTCTGCAGTTAAAGCACATCTTGTTTGATTCATTTCAAATCCATTGTGGTTGTGTATAGAGCCAAAAATGTTAGAATTGTGTCGATGTCTCAATATCTATGGACCTGACTGTAATATATATATATATATATATATATATTTATTTCCCTTCAGTGTGAAATAAGGCTTTTTTCACACTGATCCACCACAAAAACACAGCAAAAAAAAAAAAAAAAAAAAAAAAAAAAAAGCATAGGCGTTTTTTACCATGCTGAGCGTTTAAAGGACACGCGACTTAAAAACCATGCAAAAAATATTTCTCAGGAGGTTGAGGAGCTTTTCAGGCATTTTCCATTCATTTCAAATGAGAAGAGGTTTGTTTTTTTTTTTTAACTCACCAAACATGCCCCAAAGATGCTGCAAACAGGAGTTTTTACACCGCACCACCTCAGTGTGAACACATACATAGATATACATTGACATACATAGGGAAGAGTGTTTGAGCTTTGCAGGAGCTTTTGTCAACGCAAAAACATTTCAAAAACTCCTCAGTGTGAAAGTAGCCCAACACCATCTTTAACACTGACAGCTAGAAAATTACTGGCTCTGTAAATCAATTCCAGAAAAAAAAAAAAAAAAAAAAAACAAAAAAAAAAAAAAAAAAAAACATACAACTGACCCAGCAAGTACTTACTTGGACTGGTTCACATCTATAAGGGAACCGATTTTGGAAGTTGTGAAGGATATATGCTCATCTCCTATTACAATCTCCAGCTCCTACAAGAAAACGTGAATGGTAGAAATCCATCAATGTACAAATTTTACATGTATAGGTTCTGTATTGTTTTACAGTTGCAAGAAAAAGTATGTGAACCCCTTGGGATTACGTGGAGTTTTGCATGAATTGGGCATAAAATGTGCTCTGAACGTCATGTAAGTCACAACAATAGAAGAACACAGTCTGCTGAACATAATACTACACAAACATTAGATGTTGCCATGGTTTAATTGCACATAACATGTAAACATTCACAGTGCACGGAGGAAAAAGTATGTGAGGCCCTAGCTTAATGACTTCTCCCAGAGCTAATTGGAGCCAGGAGTGAGCCAACCTTGACTCCAATCAGTGTGATGATATTGGATGTGTTGCTGACAGCTGTCCTACCCTTAAAAAACACACACCTGTTTTGGGTTTACTGGTTTCAAGAAGCACTGTCTGATGTGAACCATGCCTCGCAGAAAAGAGCTCTCAGAAGACCTACGATCAAGAATTGTTGACTTGCATGAAGCTGGAAAGGGTTACAAAAGTATCTCCAAAAGCCTTGATGTTCATGTGTCCACGGTAAGACAGACTGTCTACAAATGGAGAAAGTTTAGCACTGTTGCTACTCTCCCTAGGCGTGGTCGTCCTGTAAAAATGACTGCAAGAGCACAGCGCAGAATGCTGCATGAGGTAAAGAAGAATCCCAGAGTGTCAGCTAAAGACCTACAGAAATCTCTGGCACATGCTAACATTTTTGTTGACACATCTACAATAAGGAAAACATTAAACAAGAATGGAGTACATGGGAGGACACCATAGAGGAAGCCATTGCTGTCCAAAAAGAATATTGAAGCACGTTTGAAGTTTGCAAAAGAGCACCTGGATGTTCCATAGCACTACTGGCAAAATATACTGTGGACAGATGAAACCAAGATTGAGTTGTTTGGGAAGAACACACAACACTATGTGTGGAGAAAAAAAGGCACAGCACACCAACATCAAAACCTCATCCCCACTGTAAAACATGGCAGAGGGAGCATCATGGTTTGGGGCTGCTTTGCTGCCTCAGGGCTGGACGGATTGTTGTCATTGATGGGAAAATGAATTCCAGAGTTTATCAAGACATTTTGCAGGAAAACGTACGACCATCTGTCCACCAACTGAAGCTCCGCAGAGGATGGGTGATGCAACAGGACAATGACCCAAAGCATACAAGTAAGTCAACAAAACAATGGCTGCAACAGCACAGAATACGCCTTCTGGAGTGATCCAGTCAGAGTCCTGACCTCAACCCGATTGAAATGCTGTGGCATGACCGTAAGAGCGATTCACACCAGACATCCCAAGAATATTGCTACACTGAAACAGTTTTGTGAAGAGGAGTGGTCCAAAATTACTCCAGATCATTGTGCAGGTCTGATCTGCAACTACAGGAAACGTTTGGTTGAGGTTATTGCTGCCAAAGGAGGGTCAACCAGTTATTAAGTCCAAAGGTTCACATACTTTTTCCTCCCTGCACTGTGAATGTTTACATGTTATGTGCAATTAAACCATGGCAACATCTAATGTTTGTGTAGTATTATGTTCAGCAGACTGTGTTCTTCTATTGTTGTGACTTAGATGACGTTCAGAGCACATTTTATGCCCAATTCATGCAAAACTCCACGTAATCCCAAGGGGTTCACATACTTTTTCTTGCAACTGTACATAAAAGGTGACACAAACAACTTACAACTACCGGTACATCGCTGTTCGTCAAGTGGTTAAAGACAGTGCAAATTCTGATGCAGCTCTGCATAGAAACCAGCTTCCAGTTTTTTTTTTTTTCAAAGCTTAATTGAACAAGCTGAAGTTAGAAGCTGATTGGCTACCAGGAACAGCTGATTTTGCACTCTCAGTTAGTCAGTCCCATGGTTTGCCATATTTGGTATAAATTATGAGCCAGGTTTTTATTCAACAGCATTACTTGACATCACTAATGCTCTCAGGCATTGCTTGTGAGGCTTTATACAAACAGTCACTTTACTAGAAAAGGGCAAACTGACAGTGTGATTCATAGCCCATCTGAAAGTCAGCATGTCAACAAACCCAGGTTTGACATAGAAATCAGGAATCGAACTGCCAAGGTTCTTCAAAGCAGATTGCCAGCTAAAAAATGTACCCAACCACTGTTTTTGGATGTATTCATTAATGACTAAGTAGGACGCATAATCAATACACACCTGTCGACCAACTCTGTCAGGCGGGGGCCACAGTGCGTCATCTTCCTTTGTGATTTCACTGTCATCTATAATTCGTTTCAGTTCCTCCATCACACTCTTGTGTACATAAGCCTGGACCACAAAATAGGAAAGCCAACAAAAACAGCACATTAACCTAAAAGTTAAAGGCATCCTTCCGTAAAACATAAATCTGATGATCAAAAGCTTGCTGGAGAAGATTTTTAAGAATTAGAATCCCCAACTAAAGAGACAGATTCAACCTATGATGTGCACAATGACAGCCCATTTTATAGAGCATCATTAACAAGATTAACTGCTTCCTGACCGCACTATAGCAGAACTACTGCTACAAGCCATCAGGGCTGTGCAAAATCACGTATATATACACACGCATGATTTTGAATTTCCGACTAGGGGGTGTGTACGAGCCATCCTACCCGAGCCACCATTGGTGGCTTTAGCTGTCGATTACTTGTCCCGGCCGGAGATTCCCTGCCGACACCTGGCGATCGCCAAGAGCAGTGACAGAGGAGAGGTCTGTATGTAAACAATACAGATCTCTCCCGTCAGCTCCAGCTCGCTGCTTTATATTGCTGCAGAGTAATATAAAGCAGTGTGCCTACACAGTAAAACAGCGCAGTTAACCCTTTGATCGCCCCAGATGTTAACCCATGCCCAGTTTCATTAGTACAATATCAGTGCTTTTTATTAGCACTGATCACTGTGTCAGAGGGGATGTCAGTGGCAGTTAGACCCCTCCCCCCCGTGTCAAAATGCCAGCCGCAGTCCCGCTATAAGTCATTGATAGTCCCATTACTAATATCAAAAAAAGTTACAAAAAAAAAAACAAAAAAACTAATTCCAGTATATATACTGCCACTTGTAGACGCTATAAATTTCACGTAAACCAATTTACACTTGGGATTTTTTTTTTCTTTTTAGCAAACATGTAAATTTATGACGAAGATTTGATTTTTTAAATTTTTTGTTACTGGATACGTTTTCCAGCAAAAAGTTAAAAATAGTTATTTTTTTCCAAAATTGTCATTTTTTGTTTATAGCGCAAAAAAAAAAAAAAAAAAAAAAAAAAAACTGCACAGGTGATTAAATACCACCAAAAGAAAGCTCCATTTGTGTGGGGGGGGGGGGGGGAGAAGGTAATAAATTTCATTTGGGTGCAGCGTTGCATGACCGCGCAATTGTCAGTTAAAATAATGCAGCGACATTTTGCAAAAAATGGCCTGGTCAGGAAAGGGAGTAAATCCTCTGAAGGGCAAGTGGTTAAATAAGACATACCTCTTTTCTGATCATAACATCATTCTTGTAGTTACTGTTGTTGGCATATCGAAGTTTACCTGTTACAGGAAAAAAAAAAAAGTTACTATCTGTACTTTCAATAGATGTGTTTTCCGTTATCTCCTTAAAGTGGACACAAACGCAAAAAAAAAAAATAAGTAAATATCTGCTATGTTGGTTATTAGGAACATTTAGAAATTATATTTGTGCCTGCGTAAAGCCCTGAAAATTGTACCCATTGTCCAGAATTCTCCCAAAATAGCAGTGCTTTTCCGGATATATATCGGCAGTGTGAAATATAAGGAACGGCTGGTCTCAGGAGATATGGTGAGGTCACTACTGTGCTGCTCTCAGTTCTCTAACAAGATGGCCAGCTCCACATAGAGTTGCAGTGCAGAACAATGCACTGCAAGTCATTAATGGGGAAAGATCAGCTGCAGGGAGGCCACAGGCAATACTGGTGACCAAACCTTTGACCTCTACCTACCTTTTATTGGTGACAACTGCATGAGTTCAGTTCCTCTTTAAAGCAGAATTTAAAGTGGATCTAAGGTCCATTTTTTTCCTTTAATACATTTTCTGCAACACTACCTGTTCTACCCCCACTGCATCCCTGAAAAACTGACCGGCACCATGAGTGTCCATGGATGCACACAGCTTGGCTTGGGAGCACACACATGGGTGCCTCCTTAGCAACAGGCTTGCCTTTATTATCACCTTAAAGTAGGGATGCACAGATATATCGGCCAAAATCGGGTTATCAGCGTTTTGCCGGTAGAAAACAAAAAAGTGCCTATAAAAGGCATGATGCGTCCCATATTATTATACAGTATTTATATAGCACCAAAGGGTTTGCTCAGCGCTGTACACTAGCAGGGGGACAGAACATGAGACAGGACGAAAACAATACAATACACGAGGGGTTCGAGGGCCCTGCTCTTTCGAGCTTACAATCTAGGAGATAGACTTTAATCCAAAGACCACCCGCCTCCAATCGACTTCAAAGCAAAGTCACACCCCCCATAGACTTCAATGCAAAGACACGTACTATAGACTTCAATGGGAAACACATGAATACATTTTTTAAAAGATTTTTAAAAACTGCCAGTTTCGGTTTTCGGCCAAGTGCATCCTGAATTTTCGGTTTTGGCACCAGAATTTTCATTTCGGTGCAAAACCCACTTGAAAGCATACGTAAAAGCAAAACGGTCTTCTAGTTTTGTATAGGACAGTCCCCTTGTCAACTTTTTATTACTGTCTGTGATTTCACTAGCAGCTCAAGAGGGTTGTCAGCCTGCCACAAGAAATAGGTCATATGTACGGATGAGATTGGGTAGAATTCGAGAATTCTTGCTCGACTTAGACGTTTTCGACAATACCTCACATGTGGTGCAACTGATGAGTACATACGAATGCTCGCCTATGCTGCGCTTTTCATATGGGGTGTGGGTGCTTTAAAATGTTTATTTGTTTTTTTTTATTTACAACTTTATTGCTATCACAATAGGGCTAAAAAGCCTCCTATAATTGCATGGGCAAGTAGCAGCTACACTTTGGAGACATTGGGGTGGTGATAGGGTGCACGTGGTTAGCCCCATAAAGTGGTCACTTATCAGAAAGCCGTTTACAGCGGTAGTTGTGAGCTTGATGTAACCACTTTTCTACCGTGCCACATTTACCTTGGTAGACAAGTGGTTAAAGTAAAATTCCAGGCTAAATCTAACTAGCCCCCCAGGACACCCCAGAACCTCCTCCGTAACACTAAACTGATGACCTATAAGTAGCTTTAAAAGTGTCGACCTACAGAAAATATAGGGTACTGATGTTCGTCGCCATTTCACGAGCGCACACAAATTTAAGGTTCGACAAGTTGGGTATCTATTTACTCGGTGCGACCTCATATTTTATATTTTACAAAAAAGTAGGGCAATTTGCTTTTTTGTGCTCTAAAATTAGCTTACTTGTATATTTTACTGAAATTATGCGACATAAAAAATTGGAACTACCACTATTTTATTCTAGAGTTTCTGCTTTCAGAAAATATAACATGTTTGGGGGTTTTGTTTAATCTTCCGGCCTAAAATTATTTTTTAAACTTGTGCAAAAACGGCTCTGGCAGCGGAAGGGAAAAAGGATAAGCCCTGACCCACCCTTCCCTGATGAGCAGCCAATCAGTGCTCATTACACTGCAAGGTCTCTTCCCTCCCTGCTAGTCCCCGAGTGCGGTGCTGGAGACAGGCAGGGAGGGGAGGAGAGATAAACAGCGCAATATTAAACATTTAAGTCGCCATAAAGCCCCTTTTATTTTTAAAAGCCCCTGACATTCCTAATATCACCTCTGATTTAAACACATTTTGGTGAAAATGTATTTATTTTTTTTTTATCTGGACAAGTAGATTGTCATGAGGGACAAGAAGATTGGGACACCGATTTAGTCCCTGGACAAATAGTTTTTTTCAAAAATTTCCACACCTGAGACTTCTATGGAGGCTTTGAAGCACCAAGAAAGCAACATGGGGTATAATTTTTGAAGCAAAGCAAACATGTGAACAGGACTGTAAGCTATTTTATTTAGTGACAGGGGCTTTGATTGGCATTCAGAGCACTTTAAAAAAGAATGTCTGAAGGCACACTTTAAAATGAAAATGAGCCCTTAATGCGTTTTGTTGCATGACAAAAGGCACATTTGCTGGCTGTATTTGGGGTACCATTAACCACTTGCCATCCATCCTATAGCAGATTTACTGCTACAGGGCGGATGTTCCGTGCAAAATCATGTGTATAAACATGCTTTTGCCCTTCCGCCATAGGGGGTGCTTAAGTGATTAGACACAGCAGAAGCCGATAAACAGTTGCCAGCAAATGGATGAGCGGCCAGCACCTGTTGATGGGCAAGGAGACTGACAAAACACAGCTCTACCTATGTAAACAAGGCAGAGCTGTGTTCTGTCAGTGGCGATGTGCTAGATTTTCTTTCCCTGCAAAGCAGGAAATAAAATCTAGCAGATTGCCTAGTAAAAAACACGACACTGTACACTAGTACAGTTAGACACACAGGTAACCCTTTGATCGCCCTAGATGTTTAACCCTTTCCAGCCAGTGTCATTAATACAGTGAGTGTGTATTTTTAGCACTGATCTCTGTATTAGTGTCACACTGGTTCCCACAAAGTGTCAGACTGTCCGTCGCAATATCGCAGTCCTGCTATAAGTTGCTCATCGCCTTCATTCCTAATACAAAAAAAAAAAATCCAGTGTATATAACGTTTGAAGATGCTATAACTTTTATGCAAATCAGTATATGCTTTTTGGGATTTTTTTCACCAAAAACATAACAAAATGATTTTGGCCTAAATTTAAGAAATTTGATTTTTCAAATATTTTAAATATATGTGTTATAGCAGAAAGTGATTTTTTTTTAAAAAAATAAATTTCGGTCTTTTTTCATTTATACAGCAAACAGACAAAAAAAACCAGAGGTGATCAAATACCACCACAAGAAAACTATTTGTGGGAAAAATTATATAAATTTCTTTTATGTACAGTGTTGCACAGCTGTTCATGTCATTAAAGTAATGCAGAGCTGTATAGCTAAAAATGTCCTGGTCATGAAGGGGGGTGGGGGCGGTAAATCTTCCCAAGGTGAAGTGGTTAAAGTGGAAACGAGCCCTTAATGCGTTTTGTTGCATGACAAAGCGCATGTTTACTGGCCGCGTTTGGGGTGCCATTAACAATTAATGGCACCATGAGTGCAATGTGTCTTTCTGTGCACATTCCTAGAATACACTGCTGAGAATGCAGTCTTGGTTCCCACTCACAGCTGTATGTTCTGGCAATGCAAAAAGAATGCTCATTTTTAATTGTTCAAGTGTTCCTAAACCCAGGACCCCGCATTCACTATATCTGGTCTCCCCGGGCCCCGCATTCACTATATCTGGTCTCCCCGGGCCCCGCATACACTATATCTGGTCTCCCCGGGCCCCGCATACACTATATCTGGTCTCCCCGGGCCCCGCATACACTATATCTGGTCTCCCCGGGCCCCGCATACACTATATCTGGTCTCCCCGGGCCCCGCATACACACTATATCTGGTCTCCCCGGGCCCCGCATACACTATATCTGGTCTCCCCGGGCCCCGCATTACACTACATCTGGTCTCCCCGGGCCCCGCATTCACTATATCTGGTCTCCCCGGGCCCCGCATTCACTATATCTGGTCTCCCCGGGCCCCGCATACACTATATCTGGTCTCCCCGGGCCCCGCATACACTATATCTGGTCTCCCCGGGCCCCGCACACTCACTATATCTGGTCTCCCCGGGCCCCGCATACACTATATCTGGTCTCCCCGGGCCCCGCATACACTATATCTGGTCTCCCCGGGCCCCGCATTCACTATATCTGGTCTCCCCGGGCCCCGCATTCACTATATCTGGTCTCCCCGGGCCCCGCATTCACTATATCTGGTCTCCCCGGGCCCCGCATTCACTATATCTGGTCTCCCCGGGCCCCGCATTCACTATATCTGGTCTCCCCGGGCCCCGCATTCACTATATCTGGTCTCCCCGGGCCCTGCATTCTCTATATCTGGTCTCCCACAGTACACACAACATGGAAATGCAATTATTTTAGTACATATAAACTTCCTTAAATATCTTTTCTCAACAGCAGTATATAGCAGTCTTGTGACTTCTATCAGTGTCTAGCAGAGCACTGGTTAAAGCTTGTAGGAGTTTTCATTCTCCTCTGCTCCAGGCTGCATAACCCTTGACCCTCTGTCTGGACAGTGCTGATTGGCCCTGTGCTGATCACATGCACCTTCGCAAGAAAAAAAAAATCTCTACCAATACATACCGAACTGAGCATGTGCAGCTTACCCCCAAGGCTCTGATCTATCAGCAGATGAATTGGGACAGTAGAAGGGGAGGATCAAAGAAATCAGGATCAAACATGCTTTTTTAAACGATGCGGAGGATAAACCCCTTAGATTCCAGTGAGTATATCAAGCATGCTTTACTCTCTAGCTCCCTTGTCTCCTCCTCCCATGCTCTTCTCCAGAGCCTCCCATATTCTCAGGAACTCTCTACCCCTATCTATCCAACCATCGCCTACTCTGCCCACTATTAGGCAATCCCTGAAAACTTACCTCCTCAGGGAAGCCTATCCTGCCTTAGCTAATAACTGAATCTTCTATTTCTCCCACCGTTATTACCTTTTGTTCCACCAGCCCCTCCCTCAGATTGTAAGCTCCAAGGATCAGGCTCTACTTTCCCTCTTGTATTGAAGCTGTATTGTCACCCGTTATATTGTAAAGCACTGAGCAAACTGTTGGCGCTATATAAATCCTGTATAACAATAATACTGCATACAGACTGATGTTGCTGTTGTGGGTTTAGTAACACTTTCATGGCACCCCAAACCCAACTAGGAAACATAAAAGGCGTGTGAGCTTCTTTTGGCACGCCTGTCTCTCATAGGGCGGCCTATTGATCGGGCTGCTCCAAGATGACCAACAGAAAAAAAAACAAACAATGCGAAAGTGCAACCCACAGGGGTGGATGAGGCCTAAGGGCTCCATGTACACGGAGCGTTTGGAAAACTCTTCTGAACGATGGAAACTGACTGCTGGAAAATGTATGTTAAAAATCGTCAGTTTAGCCACGTTTGCATACTGCCATAACCTCAGGAGACCTTCCAAATGCCCAGAATGCACTGAAAAACAGTAAAAAAATTAACCATTTCAGACATTTGAGGAATAGAGAGCCGTATACCCTGAGGAAGTCACGTGGTTGTGACGCAACGCGTCGGTACGTCAGTTCCGGCGACGCACTTCCGGCTGGACGCCAGGCTGGGCTCCATCTGAGGATACATGCAGTACACCCATACTAAGGGGTGGCAATGCGATTTTTCCTACTTTTATATGTGGGTGGGCATTTTATCTTATTATTTGCCGTTTAATAAACGTGTTACACTATGGAGAATGTTTGTGCTTATATCTTTGACGGTGTGGCCTTGTGGGGAGTGTGACCAGAAAGTACTAGTGAACAAGTACCCTGTGCAACATCTCGGTCTGGACGTGGCATCCTGGTGGGAGTTATAAGGCGAGCCGGCCCTTGTGGTCACTTCTTGGAGGTGAGGGGGCATTTCTGCCATTCAGGATTCCTATCACCCAGTTTGGGGATCACCCATCACGAGCACCCACGTGTTTTGCTTGCAGTTTTTCTGCGTTTTGGGACTTCATATTTTAGATGTGCACCTGAGCGTTGATATATATATATATAGTGCTGTCTGGACATCTATGGTTTCTGCATGTGTATTTATGATTTATGGGAGAGATTCCACTATTTAATATTGTATTTGTCACAGTTGCTGTGTCTTTACCCCCTGAGGGGTCACTTATATATTTACTATCAGTCCCCTATGTGGACAGGGGGAGGTTGTTTTTTCCATTTGGAAAAAGGTTCACGTTTATAGTTACAGGTCTACCTGTTCCACTTCTTGTAGCACCTCTTTAGATCCGGTTGGATCAGCACTTTGTATGTTCACTTCACTTTTATTCATCATTTATTTCTTGCTGTGTATATGTACTCTTCATATCATCTACATCTGTATTATATTGCTAGCGCTTCACCATTGTTTCTATCACGTGTTGAGATGACCTGTCTTTTCTGGTTGTATTCACTATGGATCCCATCATGAGCATAATGCAGCACGTTCTACCAATTGTTCTTTCACGTGAAACCTGGAACTGACTGCGTTGGTGTACCGGGTCCATGGAAAAACGCTTTGCATGCGTTTCTAATGAAAAAAAGGCTGTGGACAGCATCTGGACATGGAACAATTAAAAAAACCACTTCTGAACGCGGTTAACCGCATTTATACACGCTTGAAATGCCAGTAAAATCTACTCCTGAACGCAAGTTTGGTGCATTCAAGAAAACGACTGCAAACTCAACTGCCTGTAAACGACGATGTGTACATGGACACATAGGAGAACATTAGGAAGAGTTCAGGGGCTGCTGAAAAAACCGCTGAACAGCTCCTGAACGTCAGTTTATCAGCTGCAGTGTACATGAGCCCGAATTCTACCAACAAGGATGCTACAGGAACCTCCCTGAAGGAACACAGATGGGTCGGAGCGTGGAGGTCGCCCACACAGATCAATGGAAAGTTGTTTGCAGTCAGATTGCACCGTGTATAGCCGCCCCTGGGTATGCGGAAATCGTTTACAGTCAGCGTGTGACTGGTGCCCGGAGAAGGGAATGAAGCGCACAGGAAGGGGAGCAATCCATCCCAGCAGGCCCACACCGATTCACCACACTTTCCCGGACCCTCCCTCTCTCTCTCCCTCCCTACCACCATTTCTCACCGTCCGGCCGGAACTCGAACTCCAGGAACTCGTGCCCGAACTTTCCCTTGTGGCCCACATAATAGCGGAGGTAGAAGTCGCTGCCCATGGTGTTACCGCTCTCGCGCCCTCAAATGACGACACCACGTATGGAGGCGCACAGGGATGACACCAGAAAACCAGCCCGGTACGTCCCGAAAACACGCGAGAGGATGATAGGCTCCCGTTGGAGAAGACTGTCCAATAGGAAGAGACGGGCGGTTCTAGAATTAGCCAATTGTTCGCCGGAGTTCGTTGTCTTTTACTTCCCCTAGAGAACTCCAATGTCAGCGGAGTCGTGTTGTTATCTGCTTACACGTCAACACGAACGGCCAAGCGCCCGGTCATAAGACCGACAAGGAAGGCGCAAGATACGGGGCCATGACTAAGAGGAGTACGCTGTAACAGGGCGCCATAAAACCGGCCTTGGCTGAGAATGATTGGTTTATACTGGAGGAGCCCTTACTATGAGACGGAAGGGGCGGTGCTAGACGTATCCAATTACCAGCTGGAGTTTGTTGTCCTCCGAATGTCTCCATGTTCCAGCGGCGCCATTTTGTCGTAGATATCTGCTTAGATAGCCACACGCATGCATGAGTGCTGAATACGAACAAGACCGGCACGGAATAGGCGGCCAATAAAAGGAGGTGGGCGGGCGCCTTATAGGCGACAAATGGGCAGAGTTAAGCTGCTAATAAGGTGGACAGGCGCCAAATGGGCGGAGTTAGGGCGCTAATAAGGCGGACAGGTGCCAAATAGGTGGAGTTAAACCGCGGCATGGGTGGAGTTATGGCGGTAATGAGGCGAAGGACAGGTGCTAATAAAGCGGCGTGATAGCATGGGCGGAGACATACCGCAGCATGGGCGGAAACATACCGCAGCATGGGCGGAGTTAGGGCTCAAATAAGGCGGACAGGCGCCAATTACGCGGTTAGGGCACTAATAAGCCGAAGGACAAGCGTTAAATGGGCGGAGTTAGGTCGCTAATAAGGCGGACAGGATATGTGGTAAATGGGCGGAGTTAGATTGCAGGACAGGGTCCATACAATAGTCTGGCTGCAGAATGGAGCTCCACTTTCAACAGGAAACATGTGACCACCACTTCCCCCTCCCCCTTTTTTTTCCCATAGTAAACTTGACATCCTCAGGAGTCAATGGTAGGGCGTCATGCGTGCCTCCTACCCAGAAATGCACAGTCATGTATATTGATGGGATTTTGCGCAGCGCGTCCCCCTGTGGCAGTACGCCTGCTATGGGTGGTCTTGAAGTGGCTAAAGTGGAAGTAAAGTCCACTTGTACCTCCAGGAAAGTCTATGACAAGGCTCACCTGTAGTACAGGGAATAGAGAGGAGATATAGAGCAGCATGCAGATGGTGACATCATCAGAGTATGCGCCTTGAAGGGACATTCATACAGCCATGAGCCTGGAAGGAAGGCTGGGTGAAGATGGATGCACTCAGGAGCCGTGACAGCATTGCTCTGGAGGGCCCCGTGTCCGGGTACATCACACTTTGCCAGTATAGGGGCCACACTGGTACACTATGACTTAAACCTCCACTTTAAATTATTTATTCATGGATATGTCTTGGGCTGCATTCACACATGGGGGGGTTCAATGGCGGGTAGAATCCCGGCAATTTAAAAACAGTTTGCTGAAATGCCCGCGTGTTCAGGCGCCATTAATTTTATTGGCACATGAAAATGCAGCGCGGGTCTGCTGAGCAAAGCTTGTCACCCAAAATAATCTCAACTTCTGGCTGTCGCGCTTCGCGGAATGCGGTTTGCCACGATTGCAATGATTTATTGCAGAAAATCGCACTGTTTTTTGGTGCTATTAAAACAAATAGCACCTGAACACGCAGTTCCGCGATTTGTCATTTTAGCAGAGCGTTTTGAAATGCCCACGTGTGAATGCAGCCTTACAGAGGAAAGATGCCATAAACGCAGCATACACGGACTGCCTGGGAGGCCAGAAAAGCGGTCATCACCACATCCATCACTGTCCTATAGTGTGGAAAAAAAAGAATAGTGTACTAATTATGTCATGGTTAGTCAGTAGTGCGGCCTTTACCCCTTCCATTGGTGGTCAGTGCTTTGGCTCCCACCCCTTCCATTGGTCAGTGGTTTAGCCCCCACCCCTTCCGTTGGTGGTCAGTGCTTTGGCCCCCACCCCTTCCGTTGGTGGTCAGTGCTTTGGCTCCCACCCCTTCCATTGGTCAGTGGTTTAGCCCCCACCCCTTCCGTTGGTGGTCAGTGTTTTGGTTTCCACCACTTCCGTTGGTGGTCAGTGCTTTGGCTCCCACCCCTTCCATTGGTCAGTGGTTTAGCCCCCAGCCCTTCCGTTGGTGGTCAGTGTTTTGGCTTCCACCACTTCCGTTGGTGGTCAGTGCTTTGGCTCCCACCCCTTCCATTGGTCAGTGGTTTGGCCCCCACCCCTTCCGTTGGTGGTCAGTGCTTTGGCTCCCACCACTTCCGTTGGTGGTTAGTGCTTTGGCTCCCACCCTTCCATTGGTCAGTGCTTTGGTTCCACCCCTTCCGTTGGTGGTCAGTGGTTTGGCCTCACCCCATCCGTTGGTGCTCAGTGCCCTTGGCTCCCACCACTTCCGTTGGTGGTTATTGCTTTGGCTCCCACCCCTTCCATTGATGGTCAGTGATTTGGCTCCCACCCCTTTTATTGGTGGTCAGTGGTTTGATTCCCACCTCTTCCGTTGGTGGTCAGTGGTTTGGCTCCCACCCCTGCTTTTGTAGGCACGTGGATTGGCTCCCACCCTGCTGCAGAAGATACATGGATCAGGCCCCACCTCTGCTGCGGTGTACAAAGCCCTACCTCTGCCGTGGTTGGCTAGTGAATAAGCCTTCATTTACTGCCATGATAACTGGAATGTTTTTTACATTTACACAGCACAGCCTTTCACCACATATAAAGCGTGTTTACCCGTTCAATTGGTGGTACGTGGATCAGGCCCCCACTCCTTCCATTGGTGGTCAGTGCTTTAGCACCCACCCCTTCCGTTGGTGGTCAGTGTTTTGGTTTCCACCACTTCCGTTGGTGGTCAGTGCTTTGGCTCCCACCCCTTCCATTGGTCAGTGGTTTAGCCCCCAGCCCTTCCGTTGGTGGTCAGTGTTTTGGCTTCCACCACTTCCGTTGGTGGTCAGTGCTTTGGCTCCCACCCCTTCCATTGGTCAGTGGTTTGGCCCCCACCCCTTCCGTTGGTGGTCAGTGCTTTCGCTCCCACCACTTCCGTTGGTGGTTAGTGCTTTGGCTCCCACCCTTCCATTGGTCAGTGCTTTGGTTCCACCCCTTCCGTTGGTCAGTGGTTTGGCTCCCACCCTTTTATTGGTGGTCAGTGGTTTGGTTCCCACCACTTCCGTTGGTGGTCAGTGCTTTGGCTCCCACCCCTTCCATTGGTCAGTGCTTTGGCTCCCACCCCTTCCTTTGGTGGTCAGTGGTTTGGCCTCACCCCATCCGTTGGTGCTCAGTGCTTTGGCTCCTACCACTTCCGTTGGTGGTTATTGCTTTGGCTCCCACCCCTTCCATTGATGGTCAGTGATTTGGCTCCCACCCCTTTTATTGGTGGTCAGTGGTTTGATTCCCACCTCTTCCGTTGGTGGTCAGTGGTTTGGCTCCCACCCCTGCTTTTGTAGGCACGTGGATCGGCTCCCACCCTGCTGCATTAGATACATGGATCAGGCCTAACCTCTGCCGTGGTGGACAAAGCCCTACCTCTGCTGTGGTTGGCTAGTGAATAAGCCTTCATTTACTGCCATGATAACTGGAATGTTTTTTACATTTACACATCACCGCCTTTCACCACATATAAAGCACCTTTACCCCTTCAATTGGTGGTACGTGGATCAGGCCCCCACTCCTTCCATTGGTAGTCAGTGCTTTGGCACCCACTCCTTCCACTGGTGGTCAGTGCTTTGGCCCCCACCACTTTCGTTGGTGGTCAGTGGTTTGGCCCCCACCCCTTCCGTTGGTGGTCAGTGGTTTGGCTCCCACCCCTTCCGTTGGTGGTCAGTGGTTTGGCTCCCACCCCTTCCCTTGGTGGTCAGTGGTTTGGCTCCCACCCCTTCCCTTGGTGGTCAGTGGTTTGGCTCCCACCCCTTCCCTTGGTGGTCAGTGGTTTGGCTCCCACCCCTTCCCTTGGTGGTCAGTGGTTTGGCTCCCACCCCTTCCCTTGGTGGTCAGTGGTTTGGCTCCCACCCCTTCCCTTGGTGGTCAGTGGTTTGGCTCCCACACCCTTCCCTCAGTGGTTGCTTCCACTCCTTCCCTTGGTGGTCAGTGGTTTGGCTCCCACCCCTTCCCTTGGTGGTCAGTGGTCTGGCTCCCACCCCTTCCCTTGGTGGTCAGTGGTTTGGCTCCCACCCCTGCTTTTGTGGGCACGTGGATCGGCTTCCATCCTGCTGCAGTAGACATATGCATCAGGCCCCAACTCTGTGTGGTTGGCTAGTAAATAAGGCTTCATTTCCTGCCATGATAACTGGAATGTTTTTTACATTTATACATCACGGCCCTTCACCACATAGAAAGCGCTGAGTGGGGAGTCAAGTATATTAATTGCATTTCTATACATTAAGTTCATTGACGGACATCGCCTCTCTTCTTTAAACTTGGCCAAACAGAGTTTTATAGTGCCAGCTACAAGAGTAGGTCACTAAACAGGAAAAAAAAAAAAACTTGGCACCTCCTATGGGCAGTCCTTCCAGGATGATGATGGCCTTCTGTACATATGGGTCCTGACAAAGCTTTTCTGAATTCAGCAAAAAAAACATGATGGGGAGATGAAATTACACACTGCAGAGCACAGAGAGCTGACTGAAGGGAAACAATCTGTCAGGAATCAAGGAGTGACCAGAAAGGTGTGGACTGACACAGGGAAATGCAGGTTTCAGGTATAGTATAATACAGGTTATTATTAGCCACCCAGATATATATATAAACGCACAGTGAGCAAACTAACCTTCCACTAATCTTAGGAGGTGCAGGAACACAGGCGTAGTCAGGGCTGGAGAGGTGGAATGGTCAGGCCGGCCGTAGGGTTCTGTAACGACTGCCTGGTGGTACCT